ATAAAAATAGCATAATACGTATCTAAAAATTAAGGAAGCTAAATATTTGAAATCTTTTAATTTGAATCTAGCATTTCAGGAAATCGAATATATTGTTCGATTACATTTTGCAAAATTTAGAATACGTATTCTGTTTTTTTTTTCAGAATTCAGTAAATTGTTGATTTCCTTTCTATATACTCTTGCGTTTTCTGATGAATTTTCTTTATTTTCATGTTTAGAATTTGAACATGATCAAATGTATCTAACTAATGCATAATGTACAAATACCAAGTATAAGTGATTAAAAATTTGCTTATGAAAGCAAACTTGTCAATAAACATAGAGTAAACGCAATTAGCTATCTCTTAAAATGATTTAATGATTCAGAAGAGCCTTCATAAATAATTAAAAAATGTTTTAAAAGAAATCATTTGTGAAACTTTGAGTAAATTATTAAGATTGCTATTACGGTTTCGAATTAAAAGCATGAATAATTGCATTCAAATTCTGTAATTCATTAACAACAACATGTTGCTAAACAAACAGAACACCAATTTGTATTGGTTTTTTGACGATTCAAGAATAAGTCAAAATTGAAAACCAATTTGTGTTGGTTTCTTAACGATTCAGTAACAAACTAGAGTTCATGATTTATAAGGTTTCTTTTTAGTTCTTTTTGTATTAAAAAAAAATATTATCATTGATTAAAATTAAAAGTATTAAAACAAAAGAGAGGACTAAGGTTCGAACTTGAGACATCAATAAAAAATTTATAACTTATCAACCAATAAATATTATTCTAAGTTATTTCCTAAAATATAGTTAAATATAATAGTTATGATTAAGGGTATAATAAGATTTTAACTAAATTAAAGTATATATTAACAAGCTTAAGTAATAAAAATATAGATGGACAAACTAAAAAAAACATCATCTATTTCCAATTTTGCCAAAAAATAAATATACATTTTTGACAAAAAATGGTGAGAAACGTATCTCAAATGATACCTACTAGATATCTTCTTTCTTCTCCAAAAACTGACATTTGTCATTTCTAAAGTGGTTAGTATTTTTTGTGATAAATTATATTCTTTATTATTTTGAATATTAAATAAATAATGTATATGTTGTTATTTTTTATAAATATTAAAATAAAATTATCTATATATCAAGTTCCATTATGAATAAATCTAAATTATATATTAATATTATTTTAATTGATATTATTTAAGTTCCATATTATTTATATTATTATAAAATATTACTAATATTATTTTACTAAATACAATAATATAGTATTAAAAAACTGAGATTCGTAAAATTAAAAATAATATTTTAACATATTAATATTATTTTCAACTGAAATTACATAAAACTAATACAAAAAATTGAATTAACATTGTTTTAGTTACTAAATTGTTATAATAATTAATTAAAACTGAGGTTTTTAAAGTTAAAAATTGTGTTTTGATACATTTCTTTTCAACATTTTTCATAAAATTATATCTATTATTTAGTTTAATAAAGATTTACGCCAACATTTTCTAATATTTTAACTTAAATTTTTCATAATTATACGCTTTATAATTCTTTTGTTTAGTTGTATTATTTAAGAAATATAGCTCTTTGATTTTAGAGAAATTTTAAAAAATGATATTTTTGAAGTGCCAATTTTCAAAAATACCATATTTTTAAAATATTTGCAAAAATGCCACTTTTTCAAAATTATTTTTACGTTATATCATTTATGTTTGGGTTAACTCTGTTGTATTAGAGTTTAGTTATGAGGGTTTACGGGTTTTTAGGGGTCAAAAATATTTTAGGCTTTAGAATTTTAAGATTTAGACTTTAAAAATCCATAATTAGTGACACTTTTACAAATGGACAACTCCTAGTGGTATTTTTGCAAATGGACAATCCAAAAGTAGCATTTTTGCAATTGTATATATAATGTATTGTATTATTAATTATTGAGAAATTTTAAGAAATGTCACATCCTAACATTCTCAGATTACCCTTTTACCTCAATTAACTTAATTTTTTCCAGATCTGATGATGAATTTTATTAAGAACATATAACCTATTTTTTTTAGATCTGGTGGTGGATAACATAAATCTGAAATTTCTTCTCTCCCTAACCAGATTTCATCTTTTTCTCTCTAAACCATATCATTCTTTCTCTCTCTACGAACCGGATGTCATCTCTCTCGCTCTATGAAGCAGATCTCATCTCTCTCGCTCTATGAACCAGATCTCATCTCTCTTTATACAACCCATATCTCGCCGTCGTAAGATCAGATCTCATTGTTTTCGATTTCATCGTTGTTGTTGAGGAAGAATATGAATCTGAGATATGTTTAAAGAAGAAGAAGACACAAACATACAAACACTTTTAAATTTTTATAATTTCAACGGTTTTTGATAAAAGATACAAACGACTGTAAATTTTTAAGTTTAGGTTAACTATTGTGCATTTAGGATATAGTTTTTGAGGGTGTGGGTGGGGGGAAGGGGTTAGGGTTTCATTTACATTATAAAAATTTTAAAAAAAATTATAATC